CTTTCACCGATAAAATATGGAAAGAGCTATTGTATGAATAATTCTTTTTTCCACTTAATTCGAAGAAGCTGCGCTCCAAAATGAGTGCTGGAATTGCTGGTCGATCCAGAAAAACTTCTCGGAGTGAGGAAAAAAATTTCTTCGATAGTTAAGTCGCTGTTCATAGCAGTTTTAATAGGAAAATAATGTGCACGTATAATTAACAAAATCAATTATCAAACTGCGGATTTTTATGCATCTGTGGAGAATTCAAAGACGTAGAAACACACTGAATACGTACACGATAAGCAAACACTGTATAAACGAATCCAATTATAGTATCTACTAAATGAAATACAATTGTCTATTCGAGTTGCATTTTCTTTCAAAGAATAGATCCGCACGAAAAATCTGCAGTTGATTAATTATTAATTCCATGTTGTAATTTTCACGAGTGTGAAGACGAGAAACTGGTATCACGTAACATGATGTATATCGATCATGATTATTCGAAACGTTAACTGGTTCTGGCCTTTGTCACTCGCGAAAATCAAAGTAATTCAAGTATCACAGACACTTGAACTTTTAATCAATCAATTGCTTCGATCGATAACTATTTTCTCCGAGAACGATTTGAAGAGACGTGCGCAACAGATTGATTATGAACGTTTCGATGAGCTTGCTACGCTATTGTGTTCGGGCGTGAAATTTAGAAAATGCTTGAAACATTTATCCATAACATATGAAAGAAAGTATTATAACTTATGGTCTACTGATAAGTAAATTAAATTGTAACCATTCGAAATATTTATATATATACATAAATAATGATTTATATATATAAGCACACATTACATGTATATACCACGTGTAATGTATTATATGTTCTGTACACATATAATATGTGTCGTTATACATACCTTATATATACACTTTTAGATATATAATTCAGATAATGTCGAGCTGTATCGTTCTATCGGTCTTATTTTGCGAGAAATAGAAATTTCATTTCTTAATATCGGACAATAAACGGAGAAAGCTCGCAAGTATAATACGAAAGTTATATTAAGTTATAAGGACAATAATTTAGACATATTTTAGGAACGTGTGTGTTAATGCTATGCGGAGTGGAGGTTTTGTCGCGATATTCGCGTATTTTTGACTTTGATGAACAAAAGACAGATTTCGAGAATATTGTTGTGTAATATTTATCAATAATCATGTTGTCATATGTTGAGAATAATATTATTATTATTTAACGTTGCTTCAACAACTCAAGTACTTTGTTGTTTCTTTGAAGCACTGGTTTTCAATGTTTCGAAAGGTAAAATTGTCCAAATAAAAATTTTGATGTTTAAATTTTTGTTAAATAACGTTGTACTGATTTAGCAAGACTTATTGAAATTATTTAATATTAATTGTTACACTAAAATTAGTAATTCAATCTAGAATTAATTGTTCTTTTCAAAGATGTAACATTTATAATCATTCAAGATTGCTTCTTAATGTAAAATTCGCTTTTCCATTAAAATATTTATTAAGAAGAGCACTATTTCCAGTAAGCACGTGCTTCACGAACGAATTTTAATCGTGCTGAAGCTTTTTGCGAATGAACGTGTGAATGCATAGGCTTAATAATACCGTCTAATTACGTCTTATCTCTGTAAAATGTTCCAATTAAACAATCTTCGTGTGTACGTGATTACTTCGTGTCACATAAAAATAATTGATTGTTCTACAAATTACACGCAATTACGAGCGTATGTTATCGTAATCTTACAAATAAGGTTGAATGCATTAGAAGCAATTTTTTGTGTTTTCTATCGTAAGTAGAACGTTTCCTAACCTATAGACATTCAAAAATTCTTTTTAATCGTTCATAACAAATGCATTTCTATCATAAAAATCGATACTGTTGAAGTAAACGTATAGAGTACAATTATCACAAAGCTAAATCTTTATGTTTATAAATTATTGTGAATTAAAATTGAATATACCTCGTGAAGAATCAATTCGGGCAGTGTTCTGACATTTTTAAATTTTATTATTACATCAATAAGAGTATCCTTTTTCAATTCGATCTAGATAACAAAATAATTTCTCAACCCTCTATAACATCGTGTATATTGAAAATTTTGCCTCATCTGCTAATTATAATAATATATAAAAATATATAATTATATAATTATCAGTTTCAAATTTTTAATTGCTACAATAATCAAGAATATATAAAATATCCAAAGTAAAATGCTTCTCGTATGTTTTTTCACAATGTTTAGCGAATAGGATTTAATTTAGTTATATTTATAAATTTATTTAGTTAATATCCATACTCTATCAACGAGCGAACGAAATTCTTGTTGTAGAGGGTTAAGTACCAAAGTATTTTATGTAACAAACATTGAATTAATTTTGATTAATATTATAGTTAGTCGTTATTTAAAAAAAAAAAAAATGTCTGCAATGGTTCAAGTATTCATTCGAATGTTCGTTCAAATTTTATATTTCTAATTCTTGCGGACCTGTAATTGGTGTGACTGCGTATATATATCTCCGTGTGTGCGTGTGTACATATACATACTTATATATATATATATACATATATATATAAATATACATTATACATTATACTATATTATTATATAAATTTCCTAGTGTATCGAACTGACAATATTGAAATTGATCGGACTTATGATTTAACTGACAATAATGTATTTGTTAAGGGCATTCGAGAGCTAGCGTTACGCGTGAGTCAAAAGAATCTACTCTTCCGTGCTGTGCATCAAACTAAACAAGATTTTTAGTGTCAACGATCTCCTCACATGCTCGATCACACACGATTCACGTTCCGCGCTCCAGTGTATCTCCGATCGACGCATTATCAACGAGTGTTATCGGATTTCGATCTCTTAGACAAGGATTAAGATTAATTAATTGTATCGTAAACTTCTGTAGGATTGTGAAGGTTAGAAATCTTGAGAGTCTTCTTTAAATTTTTAACATTTGCTTGATCCTTTCCAGATTACATTATACAAAACTGCAAGGGTGAAAACAGAGGGTGGCAAAATTTCTATCCTGAAGTAATTGGAAATACTTAATTCTTTTCATCGCTATTTGTCATTATCTCTGAACTTCATATTATTATTACTTATTTGGTATTGTCATTTGAAGCAAAGTAGTAACGTCGATATTAATGTTACCGAATTTTCAGATCACAATTTTCATTGACAATTGTGTTTCGTTTAGTTATTGAAATTTTTCACGATACGCTGTACACTTAAAATTTTTCTACGACAGTCCTAACGAATATTTCCGAAACATACAACTCGTCGATAATGCGTTGCAACGTCGACGCCTAATATCAGTTTGGATATCTCAAAGTTGGAAGATTACGTAGAAATCAATTGTCGCGTGTATCAGTGTCACGTCTGAAGAGTCAAGGGCCATTTTTAATGATTCCACGATCGTGGCACGCTCTGGCATCAAATTAATAAATAACAAATGGCGAAAGTATCGATTTGCCGCGTGAAACATTCTCTCTTCTGTGTCCATTGACGTTAAAATCTCTCTCAAAGGTAATCACTGGTTCACAACTCTCTTATAGTGGTTTCATAATTAACAGAGATGACATAAAACGGTAATCTTAAATGCTCCGTGGCGGGCAATTTAAAGAAAATCTATTTTGACTGTTTAAAAATGGAAAAAAAATAAATAAATAAATAAAAATAGCGGGCCTGTTCTATTATATGCACGTAGCTGCAAGTTAGAGTGAAAACAAAGCAAAAGAAAAAAAAAAAAAAAGAAAAAAACGAAAAAAATAATGAGTCATTGTTACACACGCCGGTAAGGTCTGGTTTGTTAATAATTATTACAACAATAATTATGTAAAATATGTATGTATACTGTAATTTTGAGTGTATTATGTAATTAAAAAAAAAGAAAAAAAGAAGGACAAGAAATACTGATTATTGACAATAAATTGTAAGCCGAATGTTTTCAAATACTCACAATTTTCTTTCAGATGGTTAAGTATGATAAAGTGACATTGTTTCGAAGAGAATATCGAACACAATTGGCAACGTGTGATTATTATTAATATACATATACATATACAGTGGCTACAACAAGTATATTTTATTTTTTAACGAAGCATTTCTCTATCAGATTATAATATATTTCATTATCTCAAGGACAAACTTTTGTGGTTACAGAATGAGCTTCAACTCAATTAAATACTAAATGTTGTAACAGATACAATAGCGTGCAAATATTTGTTGTAATCACTGTAGTTTGTTCTTGGAATTATACATCTATTTGTCTAATCTTCGAAATGTTTCAACACGTTGCAGCTGGAAGACGTTTGTTTCAACAAATAATTTCATATTATGACATGGAACATTTTATATTATGTTATTTTACACTGTTAGCATGAAATGATTTCTTTTTTCTGTGTCCTGAAGTTGAAGAAATTCAATCGCAAGTAACGAGTAACGTTTGGAAAGTCACTTTGCATGACCAGTTTTCCAACGATATCATAATATCATAAAAATTTATTCTTTTCTGCAACAAAAGTTTTTCGTATCTTTATTTTCCATTCGGCGACTCTCGAAACGTCGAACGAAAACGGTCGTACTTTCCCGCGAGGATTTCAACCGATCGTCGCAACAGATATAATTAAACATCGTCGATACGAACGGAGCTGAATGTAATAAAGCACGCGGCTACTTTCCCGGAAGTCGAGGCTCGCCTCGAACATCCGTCAAAGATGCAACACACCATGGGCGGTACCCGAACCTGTCGATTCATCGACATACTCTGCCTAATAATCCACCCGAACGCAACGAGGCACATTTCGCGAATGCAACGTGCATGCGTGCGTGCATTGAAACGCGCGTTAAAAACGTGGAGAGAGAAAGAGAGAGAGAGAGAGAGAGAAGCTATGGAACGTTTGGTGACTTTCTAAAGTCCCCTCCGTGCTCCTCTCTGTTTATCCCTACGTTTGTATGTCTTTTGCATGTTGCAATCGGCCGGGAGAAGCGGCGGGATAAGCACTTTTACTGATTTTTCACCACCGCGTGTCTGAATGTTATATCACAAACCACGGGAGTGCGGGAGATGGCGGTCAGTGTCGTGAGCTATCTCGTGTTCGTCTTCTTTGCCGTGCTTCAGTATCGTAAGTAGTATGTCGTCGTTTTCAATTCAGTCCGTCGCCGAGATCCTTTTTTTTCAATTTTCCGCGCGAGTCTCCCCGCGTGCAGAAACGTGTCGATTTCGATTCGAGTTGTTCGAAAGTTGCAAGTTGAAAATTGGGTGGCACGTAAAATTGCCTGTCTTCCAACATTTTTTTTGGGATTGTACAGTTTTTCAAGTACGTCTGTCCAGTGCGTGACTTTGAAAGTGCACCTCGAGTAACAATGAGATACTCTGGTGTGATGAGATTTGAGCATTGGCAGTGTTGTTTCGTGCTGCAGCTTGGTTCAAAACAATTCGCAGACATTCGAATGAAAAACATATTCCAGCTTGCGAAGAAAATGGACACAATTAAAAAAAACTATGTTTCTCGAAAGGAACGGAGAAACTGGTTTTCGACATTATTTGTTTTATAATTATTTTACAATTATAATTATTGTTGATTGGAGAAACAACGCAATTCAAAGTCATTCATTTTCATTTCAATACACGTCTCATCTTTGTCAACATTTTTGTAATTGATTTTTTTTTTTAAGTTGTGTCATTTCTTTCGCAAATAGGTAAAATACTTGCTCGTGGATTGTTTCCAGGCTATACTCTGTTTAAATTTATTTTATGTATTGTTGTCATTTACACGTGCGACTATTGCGGATTTTTAAATATTCTATATATTTTTAAATGTTCTATATATTTGTAGGCAATTGTCTATTAATCCACATTAAGCAAATAATTCGAATTTTGATGTGGTGATGGGGTAATTTTTTTTTTTTTTTTAGAAAAGTAGCTTTATGGGAGAATTGGAAATTAAAGAGATACATAAACCTATTCTTGCGGATTTTTAAATATTCTATATATTTGTGGACAATTGTCTATTAATCCACATTAAGCAAATAATTCGTATTTTGATGTGGTGATGGGGTAATTTTTTTTTTTTTAGAAAAGTAGCTTTATGGGAGAACTGGAAATTAAAGAGATACATAAACCTATTCGTTAGGTTTCTTGGAGAATTTTGCAATAATGTCAATGATCAACAATGATTGCCCAAGCTACACCAATCATTCCGCAACGCTCGGTAATTTACACGTTAACAAATAGCTCGCGTATCAAAGATCACTTTTTCTAGCAAATTCTAATAAGAATTATGTTAATGCCATTTTACTCTTCGTCCGTATCTGTAACTGCTCACCTCTCTTGCGTTACTTACTGTCGCAAGAACAGGATGGTAAAAATAGCTATGGTAAAAAGAACTGTAAAAAAATTAATTGGAACAGTATATCGAAACTAATCGATCCTCACCTGATTTTCTACGCTTGTGGGAACTACGGTCGAGTAGTTTTCAGTGCGAGCACCGTGATTGAATTGGAAATGATTGAACTGGACGACAGGCAACTGAACAGTTTAACCGGGCGTTGGAAAACAAATTCATGTGAAACCTGGATCGTCTGAGTAGGGAATTAGGGATGATCGGTAATGCGTGTTGTTTTTCGTCTCTAGATGATGTGAATGCGGAGACAAAAACGTTCAAGGATCTATTTAACAGTACGTCCTGCGCAAAACCACCCTACGAATGTCCACACCCGCAAATTGAATTTTATTTGTACACGAGGTAAGATTATCACCTATAAAATTAATTTCATCAATCAACTACTTTTTTTAACAATCTGTTAAAAATTCGTAACGCTCCTCGATAACATCCTACGTCAATTAAAAAAAAAAAAAAAAACAGCGATTCGACTTCAAAAAATTCGAGACGAAGAGATTGTAACTTTCTAATATCACCGCTGTTTCTAGTTTGTCTCATGTAGAGAGAGAGAGAGAGAGAGAGAGAGAGAGAGAGAGAGAGAGAGAGAGAGAGAGAAAGAGAGAAAAAAAATCGTGTTTCACGAAATGTTGCAAACGTTTCTGACTTTCGGGTGAAATTTCCCATTTACTTTTGCGTCAGCGATTCACGGTTCCTCGAAGCGAGTCACTTTCCTTCGAGAATGTTCGAGAATGTTCACCTCGAACTTGAGCCGCGTGGCCGTAAGGAAGAACGTCGACACAAGACTCTCGATTTCAAGATCATGATCAGTTTCAGTCTCACACTGAAAGCGTGGCCTCGTTTCCGAGTTTACCTTTCTCCGGCAGCTAGAAGTGCGCCATGGCACTTCTGTCTCAAGTACTTTTACTCGCAGTCGCGAGTGTTTTTCTTTTTCGCGGCGTCGGGCCGGCGTTTCTTGTTTCTGCGTGTCACCATCTCGTTTGAAGATTACATACGTTGACTCATGTTGGCATGTACTTCGTTCAACGATCGTCCACTTCTTTGCATTGATTTCTAATCATACGGTTAATTTTAAACTTGATTCATTTTTTAAAAGCAATAAGTTTAGGCGTGCCATTATATTTGCTTTATTTCAAAAGCAATTTGTATTTTTTCTTTAGACTGAAGTTACTCATTTCCTTTTCAAGCTATCTATAAGTATACCATTAGATCTGCTTTATTTCTACCCTCCTTTATAACAGATTCTCTAGATTTTTGTCATGATACATTTTTTCTCTTTTCTATTTTTTTTCGATGTACCTTTTTTCACCTTCTAATAAAAGATTCGCGAAATGAAGTTAAAATGTTCATTATAATACCTAGAAATTGAAATTCATTTGTTTGCAAAATAATCTATAATATATGACTCTCGTTAACATTCTGACGCCAAATAAATTAAACGGTTATAATTTCGTAAAAAAAAAAAAGATCCCACTATCAATAAATCTGCGGTTTAAAACTCGTTTTAAAACTCGAAAGCCTCTACTCTCAAAATGTATGGTTCATTTTATTCCACGATGTTTTTGAAGGCACTTTTCTTTTCAAAAATGTTATAAACTGTCATAACGTGCAGACATTGAAATTTTTTTTCCACGACTGAGTCTATGACGAATTTGAATAGTAATCACTCGGATAAAAGTTACAATTAAAATCTAACACTCAATCAAATTTAGTACTTAACGCTTTTTAAATTCAGAAACGGATTTTCACTCTTTTCATTCATTCTAAGTGCACTTCCTCATTTCCTTGAAAAGATCGTTTAACGTACTTGCGAATTCCAACACATTCATTTAATTGTTTCGCAGAGAAACGCAGAAGAAGCCTTTACGCATTGACGTACGAAGGTTCGAGTCGCTTCAGCACTCCAAATTTAATAGGTCACATCCCACGAAAATCATTATCCACGGTTTTGGAGGAGGGAGGAATTTAATACCTAGTCCGGATATTCGAAAAGGTAATTTTTACGGAATTGTATACTAAAGTAGTTTTCTTGAAATTCTGTTAAATGTTTGAAGATAGTCGTACAACTATGTCTAATAACGATTCAAATTCTTACTTAAAATAGTATTCTTTTTAAATTCTTACTTAAAAATCTTGTAACGTGTTAAACGACTTATTGGAATACCAAATTTCACAGGAAAGTGATCAATTTTGTTGACGAGAGATTTATCGTCGTGTGAAAGTTTATGTCGCATTCCTCAACTGTTCGAAGTGTGGTAAAATTTTATTTCACGCGAAGTAAATACCGAGTCACAATGAAGAAACTTTCGACTACGCTATTCGAATCATTAGCTGAAACATTTTAAACGTTGCAACTATTTTGTTTAACTCTCTCATATCGGAAGCGAAAGGAATTCCCGATATCGTCGCGTTCGATTTATAATTTCTCTTACGATGCTCGTTATATTTAGTCATATATTTCTCTGATATATCGTATTTGGTTTCATCCATGAATATAAATTCGAAACATTCGAAATGTAGCTTCGTGTGACATTTAAATAACCCAATTCAAATAATCCTGAAACAACGAGTTCAGCGATGGCAACTGTACTCGGATATCGTACCAAAAAAAAAAAAAAAAAAAGAAAAAAAAAATCAAAAAGTGAAAAGTCAAGTTAACTTTCAACTTATTAAAATACTTACTCGTCCAATTGACTGTTAGATCGTGCATTTTAGATTCGTACAAGTTAACGTGGGCTGCATAGCGCACGATGCGATGGTCTCGATGTATGAAACTTTCGATTTCAGCGTATTTCACGCGAGGCGATTACAATATTATAATCGTCGATTACGGTTCGTTGGTACGCGAGCCTTGTCTGTCGCAAATACAATGGGGTCCAGATTTCTGTTCACGATGTATTGCTCAATTGGTAAGGTACTTGAGGGATCATCCTCGGGGAACGAGGGTGGAGAATATACACGTGCTTGGGTACAGCGTTGGCGCGCATATAGCTGGCCTGATTGCGAATTATTTGCCCGATGACAAGCTTGGAAGGATTACAGGTAATGCACGTAATTCTATTGTTTAATCGTCAACTATTGTCAGACTGTTTTTGTGAGGCTGCTTCCAATATTATTTTAATATTCTCTACTTTCATTCTCTCTGTATTTCCCTTCTCGCGTTGTTTAATACTTTTATTTTACATCGTGTTTTAGTTCAATATTTTCGTTTTATATCGTTTATTTCGTTGTATGTTACATTTTATACATTTGCATTTGTATTTTCATATGAATTATTTACTAATTATTTATAATTACATTTGTATTTGTAACTGTATCGAAATTAACATTAAAATAAAATTATTTTCACTTTATATTGTATCAGTGACATAGAATAACATTTCGTTCAATAAAATTTCTCTGAAGCTCTTTATTATTAATGTATGAATTTCATTCGTGATCTAACGACAACGAAACGAAATAGACAGCGATAGATACGCTAGAAGATGAAATTAACGACGAATAGCCAAGTAACACAGATTTAATCTTTACTTCGAACGAACCAGCACTTTTTCTTAATTTGACTTAACCTTAATTTGACCAAACCTGTTTTTTACAAGGTTGCTCAATTATTTAACGGAGCAACCTTTCAAAAATGGTGGGTAAGGTTCGTCGATTTACCGTAAAAGTCCCTCCTCGTTTAACGCGACTTGTGAATTTCCATGTTGGCGACGGGCAGGACTGGATCCAACGATATTTTTCTACATGAATGGAAACCGGTCGATGGATTTAGACGAAACGGACGCGCATTTCGTCGATGTGATCCACACTGGTGCCGGGATCTTGGGCCAATGGGGGCCGACTGGGCACGCGGATTTCTACGTGAACGGAGGATCCAGCCAGCCCGGATGCGCGACAGCTTCCTTGCTCCGTAAGTAGGATCTTCTCACTCTTCGATATTTATTGAGAGAAATTCAAATCTTGCTTTATTTATCACTTGTCGTCTAATCGACCAGTGCTTTATTTATTATTCCAATCGATGTCGCGTGACGTTTTACGAAGCCACTTAACGAGACGTTGTCGCTTAGGAAAGCAAATTGAGGAGAAACGATCTCTGGTCGGGCAGAGACCAGAAAGTTTTGTATGTTTTACTTGTTTAGTTCTCTCGGGTAGTATGTAATCATATAGAATTTATTTATTTTTTTTCTCTAAATTAGTAGTTATTACGGTGAAAGGAATTTTGTCGAATGTGATACTTTGTGGAAAATGCGAGATTCGTCCGGAAATCTTTTCACTTATTTATTGTATCTTGTGTGTGATACTTACTTTCTCAGTACAATACAAATTGCTTGATTGTCAGATATTTTCAAAATTTGTATTCGCGCACAGTGTGTCTTACGTCGTTCCACTTGTACAAGAAACGACAGTAATTTGTAAGAGAAACAGTGCCCTTCTCGAGCGTTAGCTACTGGTCAGAGTAAAAGTGTGTTGGTTAAAGAGAGATTAAGTGCAAGTTTGTCGGAGTTTTGTCAAACAGTGAACTTCCCCTGTGAAAGGATGCCATTGACGTTATTGAATTTCGCATGGACGTAACTTTCAGACATAACTTTCAGTTCTAATCCAGCCTATTCTCTTCAAAAATAGTCCCCAACTGTGCCGTAAATCCAAGCGTCATTCGATGTTTCCAAACAGGGGAAGTATGTTGTGAAAGAAAGATTTGGGTTTGGATTTGAATTGGGTTGCATGTGTCTTCCATCTCGTTACCTTATCGTCGTTTGCACGGGACGGATGGGTCGACCGTGAATGAAATCAGTGGTACATTTGGTCCGCAGAGACGCTGTCGTGCGATCACACAAAAGTGACACCCTATTACATAGAGTCAATCACGACGAAAGTAGGATTCTGGGCAGCTCCGTGTGGAAATCTCTTTTCCTACCTGATCGGCTGGTGCAATCCGAAACTCGAGGAGTATATACTCATGGGAGAAGACGCCCCACACACGTGAGTAAATTTCATCCGTTCGACAAAACGATAATCCTGGTAGAACAAGTGAAATTTCAGAAATAAATTTCATAAATTATATACGCGTGTGCAACACAGACTGGTTTCACATAATTGTGTATGTATCATGTATGTAGATGTATTGTAACGATTAACCAGTTGCGGACCACAACGAGCGACCAAACCGTGTACAATAATTCGTCGCTTTCTGTTTGAACTCGTCGGTATGACAATCACTGGACAGAAATTATTGAGAAGTGATAAATTCATCATTTGTCTCGCCTAATTCTGTTTTATTACAATTTTGGAACAAAAAGTTCCAGCGCAGGAGGTTGATCGTGATCGTCGATCGATAAAAACTTACGAGACGAAGATCTCGTAGAAAGTCAAACAATTCTACGGGAAATTAAAAAGAATAGAAGAAACTGACAAAAAAAAAAAAAAAAAAAAAAAAAAAAATATAATTAAAAAAAAAAAAAAAAAAAAAAAAAAACGAAAAAAAAAAAAAAAAAAAAAGAAAAATGAATATCTACTTGAATAAATACGATAAATAATACGAAAATATATGACGAAAGGTGAATCTAAAAAATCTAAAGGAGACGAATATTATATTTTATTTGATTTGTTGCAGAGCACGAGGCATCTATTATCTCTCAACAAACGGAAACAAACCATACGCCCGCGGCCTTCCCGTAAAAAACCAACGAACGACAAATCGGAAACGATCGTCCTCCCGCCAGTATTAAGCTTATTGAAGCAACTAATCAACATAATTATAGAATAAACTTGCTGTATACGTGGTTGTTAATAATTGTATGCGTTGTACGTTTGTGTTGTGTTTGGCTCTGTTGTTTCTTTGTACATTTCTCTCTTTTAATTGTTTTCTTTCTTTTTTTTTTACGTAATAAACTATTTTGCCACGCAACCGTCTATTTTCCATTAACCGCCGCATACCGTAATTTGCCGATTAACGTACTTATACCACAGATACTATCATTACGGCGTTTCAAGAACTTTCACTCTTTCCGATTCCAGCAATTCTGCAAAATCGCCGGGCGTTCCGTGACCACGCGATTCACTGTTCTTGTTGTTATAATGCTACCTATATTACCTGTTATCAACCTGTGAACCTACTTTTCCTCGTTACAGCTCGTTGTTTCGTTAACTATAATAGACGCGGAGATAAATTGTAATTAACGTGCGAAATTGGCGAAATCAGGGGAAGATCGTCCTTTCGTGTGGCATTCCAATAGATGAAATTTGCCGAGTATAACTCTTAATCGCGTCAATTCGTTTCCGAATTGTGTTAATCGTACGAAAAACCAGGAAGGGAATTCACCTTTCGAGAGGATCGAAATAATCATCAGAATTGGTAATTAACTGTTACAACTTTACTGTTATAATTGAGAGAAAAAGAAATAAAAAAGGGAAAGTGAGTGTAACATGCGATTACACGATCACGACCATATAAATTAAATTTTTATATAAATTTAAATTTAAATAAACATTCATTTAGATAAATTTAAATACCAATTTAAATTTCGTGTAAATTTAAATTAAGCTTGTACAGGTTACAAATAAAAAGATCCCTCTAAAAACTACGTGCGCATTCGAAATACTCCTCACTTCAGGAAAATGAATAGAAACAAACAAGACCATTACGAATTTTTATGTTAACAACAATATTTATTACATAATAATTACGATATAATAATAACTTCTATGGATTTACAGTACACTGCCGCGCTAAACCTTAGAATTACGTATAATATGCAATGGAATGATTACAAGTTGTTAATACATCCACGTTTCAAGCTTTTGGAGGCATTCGGGGCTTCGTTTGTTTTTTGTTTTTTTTTTTTTTTTTGCTTTTTGTTTTTTTCAGATTGGCTCGAATGCGATGTAAAGGGAACCAAGTCCCTTCGTCTACTCCACATTTCGCTCTCTCTCTCTCTCTCTCTCTCTCTCTCTCTCTCTCTCTCTCTCTCTCTCTCTCCCTCTCTTTCGTTCTCTCAACAGGAACGATGCTCGGGTTTGATCGAGAGTAAAATATCGAACACGATCTATTGTCGATATTAATTCGTTCTCGCGGGCATCGTCCCGAAACGTAGGACTTTAAACTTCATGTATACATATATATATATATATATATTTTTTTTTTTCATATATATAGATCTTTATCTGTATTAGATCAATAGAGTTAAGAATAAATTCTCTACATTTTACGATGGACAACGTAGAATCTACGATAAAAAATGGACAGCTTCGGTTGTTCGATGGAGAAATGACAAACGGAAATCAATCACTATCGCGGAGTTCAGTTTCTTCCGGGAGCCAGAACGATGCTTCAACAACTGCAACGAGCTGTGCGTTTCACGTATATTATCTACATGTTTCTCTCGTTTTCTAGATTTCTCGTCTTACCTTCTATTTTTTTTCTCTTTCTCTTCTCTTTCTTTTTCTCATTTCCTATATTAGTATTAGTTGCTCTTAGCGTGCATCGACCGTGTTCAATATTAGCGCATGCCTTTTTTATTTTTTTCATCGTTGTTGAGATTGATTGGTACGTTCCGTTAAGAAGTTTTTCATTCGCAGTTTCTCTTCTTCTTCTTCTTCGTCTTCTTCTTCTTCTTCTTTTTTTCTTCTCCTTTTTTATTTTATTTTCTTTTGGACCCTTTCACGACGGTAAAACGTCTGTGTGTGAATTTTTTTCGTCATCCAAATTGCCGGGTTCCGTATGCCGCATTTAGCCGGGAGGCGATTCGCACGCGATTATGAATCACAATCGTACAGCGTGTTTCACTTAAATGGCGCGAAGCGATTCGAAGTTGCAAAGTCTTTTGGAACGCAGCAATTCCTCTGCGACGTTTAACGCATTCTCTGTTCGTATCCCTTTCTCTCTTCCTCGTGATGTCTCTTCCGTTCGAAACGCGATTATTGTTACAGTTACGTATTACGAAAAACCTCGAATCTCGAACACGTGATAGTAAATAGTTGAATGAATGATTCTTCGTTGATGTCGATCGGTATATTGTTGAATGGAAAAACATTACGAATTATATGTATATATATATATATATAGAGTGTAATCCTTTTCGCTATCTCTAAAGTATAATTCTCTAACTACTACTGAGTATGTCTTTTTGAAAACCGTCCGAAAAATATTGAGGAAACTCATTGCATCGTCGTTACTAAATAAACCTAACTACATTTCTCTTTGTTCCTTTTTTTCTCTCCTTTCTTTCCTTCTTCTATTAATTTTAGTGACGAATCACGGTGAAAGGGACTCGTGCGTTATCCGAAAAGGAATTTGAAAATCTCGAAAGAATTGCGTGTACTCTCTTTCTCTTTTCTCCTTTGGTCTTTCAATTCTCTGGCTATTCATTCATTCTGCTGTGGCATCGTTCTACTCGCGAAGAAATTAAATGCAAAAAAAGTAAGAAGAAAAGTAAGAGATAAAACCAGTACTTTAACTAGAAGACTAAATTAAGGCTTTACAAAGATTCATTGTATTTTCTCTTTCTCCTCTCTCTCTCTCTCTCTCTCTTTATTTACATCATTGTTCTTTCCTACCGACGTACATCATATCGATTTACTATGTCATTTGGACAATCATTATGTACTGCACTAACATGACAATCGGTACGTTTGTTGATCGGATCGACGATCCGCTACTACGCGGGAAATTCGAAGGACTTGAAGAGCACGTTACTCTGTAAACTGCTCGGAAACGATCATGCTCGAAAGACCGGCGCGATCATTTATCGTTCAAGATCTTCGATCTTCTTTTAATCGCCTTTTATGAATGTACAAGGAGAGAAAACGAACGATCTACGATCATGTGACACGTGATTCCGATGACTCGCGAGTGCTACCGATGATCATTGATGATTGGTGCCACGTTTACACTCGTGAAATAAAATATACACCTTATCGTACTACGATACGTAGACATTGAAGATGCAAAGAAAAGGGATCAAGATACGAAATAAAATGCAAACGAACGAGTTGGTTTCCAACGAAATGGCACAGAAAGACTGAGGAGTGATACAAAACACAATTGTTTAAAAAACGGAATGATCAGAGTTGCGAACTTTGAGTGTACCGTTTTATGATTACTACGTAACGTAGTCATACATTTTCGTAAAAAAAGCACAGGCATCGAGGTCTTAGGCACATGTATTGTACGCTCGCACGTATCCGTTTCTTTTTTTTTTTCTCAATGCCTTCGCCAAATGCCTTCGAGCGTGCTCCAATCGCTAAGCGCAGTGTTGAATATTGTAAAATCATCATACTGTCTGAAGAATTAATCCAATTTTTGTCAACTGTTCGACTGACAATGAAAAGAGAGAAGAGTTTGATCGAAAGTATCGTTCGATTAAGCAAAAGTTCCCCATTCGCAGAAACTAATGAAAGAATCAGCACGAAAGGATTTCAGAGTTTCAACACTGGTTCGGTTCTCGTTAACGTGCACAATCATGAGCCTGCTCGGATCAATTGCCAACTTCTCATCGATTCGAATGTTTTCCGTCGTGTATATTTTTTTCCTACGTGTATCGTCGCACGTTCACACGGATCTACTCGACTGAATCACTACGCGTTCCGTGTTTGTTCCTTTTTAAATTAATACTTATTAGTATCGACAGTAACATTATATCGTTACTTCCTGCGACCACGGCCGCGATCGATCTCTTTGCTCGTTATCCGTCACGATCGATCGTTATTCCTTTCTTTTATCTACTAACGATTCGACGTTTCTCCCATTTCCCTATTTTCAAAGTCATATCGAGAACGACGACATCGATCGATTGTCATACGTCAGTGGCGCGACCCACGGAAATCATTTCGAAAGCAATGAAAGGCACTATTTAGACGTTACGTGGACACGATTGGTAACAAGCACGGATAATAGTCATAAAACGGTACGGCACTTCCGTCTCGGAAGATGATTGCGGCAAGTTTTCATTGTCGCTCGCGTGCGCGTTACCGCGGATTTTGTCATCCGTAGCTCTCCACCGTGATCGCGACTCGATATATATAATAATAAAAGCATCGCCGTTTCACCGGCGTAAATTTCACTCGATGCTCGTCGACTATCGCGGTTTTCGTAATTTGATGATGAGTATATGATGGAGGAAACACGATCGGATGAGCTTGCTGAACGTTCGTTAAAAAAGTGGGACAGATTTATACGGAAAAAAAAAAAAAAAGAATCGAGAGTTCACGTTCTCAGATTTGCTTTCTCTTTTTTTACGTTCTTTACGTCGCGCATAGGTCCACTGGATGAGCGAATAAAGAGATGCTCGAAGAAGCGAGTTAAAAACTAACGATGTATTTCAATCTGTTTATAATTTCGACGAACTTATAATCTCAGGCGGAATTTCTCGATTTGTAGAGTGAAACGCGTAGGTAAGATACACATAAGATACACCTCGAACGAAAATAAAGGAAGGGACGACATTCGTTCCTCGTGCGTACAGGCGCTCGCCGTAGTTTGTCGATCGATGCCGTTCTTCTCTTAAAACAGCGAACCTCTCCATCTCCCTCGTCAAAGTTCCCGTTTTTTTTTTTTTTCTTTTTTGTAGTGACAATGCTGCAATGACAACACGATTCGAACATGCTATCGACGTATTTAATCGTTCGTGATAATTGGTCCTGAACAAATGATAGAACCAAACGGCTGGTTAAGTGAACATGTGTGTTAAGCGCTGATTCGTGATACGAATATCCTGGATCCTGACTTCGATCTCAGAGAGAGAGAGATACTCCGACCCCAGGATCCGCGAGAGAACTGAAGAATGACATACCTAAGCTAGTCTGCGCTCCCTACGTTACGACTACGCTTACACACACACACACACACACACACACACACACCTCTACTCTACACACTCTATGTTACTCGCAATGTGACTGACCATTTGTGTATATGTATATATCAACGACTGATTTTCTACGGTGCACTGGGTACCACTTTGCCGACCGGAAACGCTGCGCCAACTGCAGTGCCACGAACTAATAAACTATCGAAGGCAAACGATCGAAATCGCTATCACGCTGGCGATTATCCCGTGAATTATCTAGCTAGAGTGCTTCTGCGATATATTTCTTTTTTCTCTCGGGGTTTCATTATATTTTTCATTGTCAGGCGTCTGTAGTACGAACGATTGAACGTATGCGTGCAAGCCCGCGACACTTTCGTCGCGTTGAAGAACGTGCGAGGTCGAAACCAATTATTTAATAATATATATATGTATATAAATTATTTAATAATACATATTAATATAATTTATATATTATTAATAATATATATAATAATATATATTATATTATAATATTATTATAATATATATAATAATATTAATAATGTATATTATATTACAATATTATTATAATGCTATTAATAATATATATTATATTATATATATGTATTATAATATAAACAATATATATTATATTATATATATAAATTATATCATATTATATTATATTTTTATATATATATACAAATTATGTTAATATATATTATTCATAATTCGTTTCAGAACGAAATGCAACGATATATTTGTCGATATATTGACCTGATCGGCAAAGGTGTACGTATTACGCGTCGTTATATCGAAAAATGGCTTAACTTTTGCTTCCTGGACTCTAGATATTATTCTGATCGGCGATTCTGGCATTCGAGCCTTCCAACGACCCCTTCTCGTCCCTTCAACGACGGCCCAGAAATAAAGAAATGAATTGTAAACGAAACGGCCATATTGTCGATCCGTCACGCTAAACGTTACGTTCAATTGAAATTAATCGTCGTACGGTTGAACGATCATCGACTTAAAACGTAAAGTTCTTGAGATTTTTTTTCTCCGCAAGTAGCGTGTGCGATCAAACGAAACACTTGAGCTCGAGATGGATCCTACTGCCCTTGATACGAATTCACGTGTACGCGTTTCTAATCGCGTTCTCCCTCTTGTCTTTACGACACACGGACAATCCACCAAACTGATGTACGATTTTTCGTTCGTGGATTCGATCAGTGCACGCTGTTTCTTCATATTCGACAAGCCTCGATATGTATTCGCTCGAAATGTAATGAAACGCGGTTCGTCCCCGATCTCGAAAGGGACAATGTTCCCGCGTTAAATTCCAAGCAACTCGACTCTTACGCTACGATTTCGACGCCATCGGTAACAATCGGATAATTCGTTTCAGGCTATCGTACTATAGTTTGTGATGATGTAGAACAACTGATAAATGGCAAACGTATCAGTGAAATAGCTGTAGAAGTTTTCGGAACGTGTCCCGTTTCTTTTCTCTTTCTGTTTCTTTGTTACACGTCTCGTTATTTCGAAACTCGAACAGGCGTGACGTACGCAGGATTTCGCATAACGATCGTTCGAATCATAATCCACGGCCTACACCTGACACACTCCTCTCGCACGATGCATTAATTCTTCTCCTTTTTTCCCTTTTTTTTTTTTGTTCTTTTTTTTTTTTTGCGTATAGTTAACATTATCACTAATGTCGTTATTGGTAATGATATCGTTACATGATTATTACAACTCGATTGCGTGCAAATATCTTCTTTATATATATATATATATATATATTTTTTTTTCTGTTTATTCTGTTAGAGTACACGTGCTACTCGCTGAACGAACATGAAACAAAAGGAATATCGAGAAATCAAAGGAACGACGTCTAGTTGCTACGAGTAGCCTGTATGGACTTACAATATGATTATCAAATATTAGAGTCTCTGAAATGTTCACGACGTGATATTTACAAAGTTTCCCATGCGTCTTCGGCGATGTGTGGGTGGTGAAAGGGGGATAAGAACAACTCGAGAAAGAGTTAAGGCCCGTATACACTTGGATATCGTTTTTTTTTTCTTTTTCTTTTTTCTCTCTTTTTCTCATCGTTCCATCCGCTATATGTCACAAACTATATGTATCGGTGTAGCTGTCGATTTAGACTGACAGAAACAAAATTGTCGTCACACGGGCTGTTTCCTCGCGCGGGCTTTCTTCAATCTGTTTCATCCTCGTTCTTAAACCACGCGCAAAATATATTTCACTGGACTCTATCGACTCGTTTTTCCATTTTTTCGTTCTTTTCTCTTCGTTTTCTTTCGCTTTTCTTCTTCTTTCGTTCAGTCGAACTCGAAGCTTCAAGGTCAACGATGCAATAAAATATATGAATTTCTTTTCATAGCAGTCAAACTCAGTTAATACTGTATAAAGTCAGTTTCCTCTTCTAACAATTGAGTTTATCTTTTCTCGAAGGATACATATAAGTATATAATATATATATATATATTTATAATAATAATAATAATAATAATAATAATAATAATAATAATAATAATAGGAGTAGTAGTAATAATAATAATAATAATAATTAGAATAATGCTTTGTAGATCTCCGGACGTCCTCGTAATTACTTCGATCAACTTTGGTTTGAATCTCTCTTCGAATCGTATTTCCGTGTTCTCAATTTTTCTCCTTCTTTCATTTTCTCCTCTCTTTCCCTCCAATTCTCAAGGACACACAGAGAATCACCGTGGACTCGTCACTACTTTGCCTTTTGCTTTTTCACTCTGACGTTCATTGTCCGAGAGACAGTTTAACGGAACGGCAACGCAAGTTATACAATCGGTAGGCCCGTTACATTTTGAAAAAACGATAACAGTATCTGCATATATAACACGTGGTAAATATATATATATATATATATATATATAATATGTATATATACCAATATGTTTACAGTACACGCGGTGTGTGAATACTTCGGAACGAAAAATGCGGAATCGGTGCGGGGGAGGGTGGGGGGGAATCGAGTGGCGAAAAACCTGTGTGCCATTTGTTTTCGCAATTCGGCGATCTCGCAATCTTTCACCGGGCGATTCCGCAGTTTTCAGTTTCAAGAGCTTAACGATCGAAACGACACGTGCCTCCGTCACTCGCGAACGAGTTGCCATCCGCAGCCATCGATTATAATTAACACTTTTCTCTCTGTGTGTTCGCGAAACAAACAAATCGTGAAACGATATCGTAAATTAGTACGAGTATTATAATCGAAGGGTGCTGTTATAACAAAAACTATCCGTGGCACATTGCCCGCGAGCGAGACCGTGTTGCGTGTTTTCTTGCTCGTTGGAAGAAATTTTTGAATTTCCCGCCAGTGCGTCCGTCGTTCGTTTCGATCGGTTAAGGTCCCCTGTACAGGTAGCGCATAATCTAATGTCGAAGATATCGCGATCGAAAGCATTGCACTTGTTCTTTCTTTCTTTTTTTTTTTTTTTTTTTTTTTTGTAGGGAAATAATTCAATCATAGCCTCTACAATTACCATTCTCACGTAGCGAGAAGCGAAACGAATATATATATACGTTTGTCATTCGTAAAGACAAGCAAATGATTTAGAAAAACGAAACTTCTGTCTTTCCTTTTTTTTTCTCTGTGCAATTTTTTTTTGGACACGGACACGATCATCGACCTGCATACACGAGATATGGCATTTTCAAATGAAATTGTACTCGCGTAATATATGTATATATATATATATTTCCCGTATACTATATACATAGAATATATAGCATACATTTATATATTTATATATAATATATAATATCTAATAAGACTGACATCGTTCGATATCTTAAATAAACGTCTTATCAAACGTGCTTTCAATTCAAATCGACGACAAGAGAAAAATTTATCGTTGCAGACTATGTCGATATCGGAACTCACAGTTCAGTGGAAGTCAAGAGCGCTGGTGTTTCGCGAAAAGAGAAAAAGAAAAAAAACAAAAGGGTGTTCAATGCTTCGTCTCGAGATACCTCGAAGAGGACGCGTTTACTTGAAGTCGTTCAATTGTTACATCTACAGAAAAAGGGTTATGGTAGATAATATACGTATATACAAGACGCTACACTCCATGAGAACATATTATCATTTAATACTAAAACCTTTTCTGGTGGTATTTTATTGTTGTTTAATTTTTAATAATAGATTATTAATATCTACTAAAGTATTTCTTTATATTTGTTTCTTATATTCTCTCTCTCTCTCTCTCTCTCTCCCTCTCTCTCTGCATTTTATTCTCTCACATTCTCTCCCACTCTTTCGCTCTGTCTTTCTCTCTCTCTCTCTCTCTCTCTTTCTCTCACATCTATATTTCACTTTTACTCTCGTGCACGATTATTTTTCATCGAATAAAAGTCGATCGATTACATCGGGGGAGATCGTTGCATCCCACTTGCTCTGTTTTCAATTTTCTTTCCTTTCCTCGCACGTTCATTCGCTTCTCTCTCTCTCTCCCTCTCTCTCTCATTTTTGTTTCTTTCTTCTTTTTGCTCGGATAAATCCTGCATTCTCGTTACGGTACATCGTCCACGGAAATCGTTGGAAAGTAAGTATATACATATATATATATATATATTTATGTATATGTAATAATATACATATACATACGTGCATATATATATATATGTATATATATATATCTATCTATAGAGTTTCTCAGGTGGGGGGCGGGGGGCGAAAGCGAACGAAATGGAACGAAACGGAAAAAAAGATAATGCTTCTGTACATTTGTCGCAACTGCTTAGAACCATTTGGTGTGCATTACCTTTATGCTGGACATCCCTCAACGATCACTTTAGTCCTTCTTGTCGCCGTCTTCGGGATCCTTAAGCGTGTGCCATTGAGCGATAGGACGTCTCGGGGATGCCAACATGTCGGACCAGTGTCTCAATTCTGTTCCACTCGCGTTGTACCCCAAGACGACCTTCCCAATGGGTTCTGACGTGCCGATACGATCGTAGTCGACTACCGTGACAACCAATTGCACTTTCTAAACGTGAAATCACGCGTTAGTGCATTAGTCTTCTCACGTGGATAGGATTTATTTTTCTCTGGCCAGGACCTCCGAATCGTAATATAATTGTCGCAAGAGGAAGCTTTATTAAATTAAGAAAATATATTGTCGATCAATCAGCGGAGCAATAATACGAGAAATATGCGAAAGTATGCGTGATGAAGAATTTATGATTCACTCTGAAATCTAATAGTCTACTAAAACAGTGAAAGTTTTAAGTAGTAAGTTAGAAGTTTGAAGTAACCAATATTAAATAGCAAAAACACATAGCTTTTAACACACTTTAACAAACTTTTAAATTACTAAATGTAGGTGAATTACGGCAGAATTTTTCATAATTTCAATGATGGAAAAATATGCGCCTACGCGGCATAGTGACAGGCAGCTTCTTTCGTTGAACTTACATTGTTTTGATTTAAAGTGGACGTTCCTTCTTTAGACACGGCTGACCCTTGGCTCAAAGATGCATGCAAAGCGTCCAAGCGTAATTTTCAAGCTGATATGAGAGAAGCTAGCAACTCTTCACGCGCTTATAATATAACAGCAGAACGTTTGTACATTGTAATATACACGTATTACGATTCGGAAGTATGGCACTTTCGCAAAGTTCGTTCAAATAGATCAACAGACCCTTCACAAAGTGCCCTTTGGTCCCTTTTTTATTTAAATGACAAAACGTATAAAAATCATGGAAACATCCTGTTCAGTTTTTTTTTTCTTATAAAATAAAATTTAGAATGTGCACCGTATATGATGACGTATAATAAAATTGTTTACCCGATTTGATTGAAAATCGGCACCTTGTGAAAGGCTTTTCACGAACGCATTACACACGGATCATTTCATCTCGTTTTCAGCAACTTCGTTTTCACTGTATACTGGAATTTAAATCATCCGTTTGCAATGGTATCGAGATATTTAGCATAAATGTTGGTACAAGAATATGAAAAAATAAAATTTATTGTCGTGGCTCTTGTCTAAAAAGTAATTCGAAAGAAACAGTGTGCTAAATTGATGTAGAAAAATGTTAAGGTACGTGTATTGTTACTGTTACCTGTGTCTGTGGACTGTATCAATGACGGGGGGAACGAAATAAACGGACGGTAGTAGAGAAAATTCAACGATTCGTACCTGTATCTGTTCGAAGGGTACCTCAAACGTGAATGATTCGTTGTAATACGGATTGAGAGTGCATTTCTTGATCGACGTCTTCTTCTTCTTCAATCTCTTGCCGTTTTGCATCAGTGCGATCTTCACGTAAGGATCTGACAGGCCGCCGACGTCCATTTTCTTCAGATTCTTCGCTTCCAGGATGACCACCGTTAATTTACCGGCCGTGGGTACGTATCGAAGCGAGAAGCAAATGTCACCCAATTTGTTGTCCTGTAATTGATCAAGCTTTCGTCAGCTTTGTTCGCACGTGAAGATTGTTGAAACGGTAATTTCGAAACTAACATCAGGAGTCATAATCGTAACATAGTTTTCCATACTCGAACGGAAGTGTTAGAGACGATGAAAGAAGAATTTGGATAACAGATCGATAATTATCTTTTCGTCAAAAATCAAACAACGGAACTGAAAGGGCTATGAGTATTTCTTTTTTTTTTTGTGACTGTTTAATTACTTTCTTGATATAATTCTTTTAATAAAATATAATTATATTTTATATTTAATATTAATAATAATTATATTTAATATTATATTTAATATTAAATATAATTATTATATATAATAATATTATAATTAATTGTATTATACAATTATAATATAATAAAATTATATTTTATATTTAATATTAATTATATTATATAATATAAATTTTAATATAATGTAATTCTTTTAACACTTTCAAGTAATTCCACGATAGACAGTCATTGTTCTTTAATAAAATCTTATATTTCGCATGTTCTGAAAATACGCAAAATTACGTATATAACAAAAGATAAAACACGTATTAAAATTACGTATGACCGAAGTATTATTATCGAATAGCAATGACGTTCCTTCACAGGAGTTCCTACTGTAAAATCATCACTCTAATCACTTCGTATTATGAAATATAAATTTACCTGGCCACCCTCACCCTCGACGCTCTGCAGTTCTCTCCATTCCTCGATCGTCTGAGCAAGATCGACTTGGCACAGAGGAACCTTCACCTCGCCGATCTGGTCGTGTTTGGAGAACCTGTCGAAGTCGAAGATCGCGAAAACTAGCGTCTTGTTCATAGCCTCTGCGTATGCCACACCCTGAAAGAAAAAGGAAACGAGTATATACGTTCGAGTCGATTTTTCACAAAAAGAAAGGAGCGGATTGTGCTTCGTTTGAACGAGCCGTAACGAAACGTAACGAAACCAGAACTCGAGGAGAAAACGCGACTGACCTTGAACGTGAAAGTCTCATTGAAAACTGGACTCAGCGTTTTCCTGTGCACTTTCGTCTCGAATTTCTTCTTCTTGTCCGGTAGCAAGTAAACCTTCACGTATGGATCGGATGTGCCACCCATGTCTAAAGCTGGCAGCTCCTCGGCTTGTATCACAGTCACTGCCAGACTGTTCGTGTTGAAATCGTACTCGAGCTGCGAAAGAATCGATTCATTGATGTATTCCATTGGAGAAAAATTCATTCACGCACGAATAACTCTAAGTATTTGGCCATTTTCGATTTCACCCACAAGTCACCAAGTTATTCAGCTTTTAAATCAATAATTGTCAACGGCAATTTTCAAATGTCTAGTTTCGTGTTGAAAAAAATCTACGTGATTCTATCGTCAATGAAATAAATACGATATCTCGTGAAAGTTTTCATGGAATTTACGGAATTGGTAAAATTAAAGTCTGGTATACACAGAGATTACAGAAATATTTATTGCAAACGTATATTTTGTAAAACGTTAATATACAACATGAAGCATATAACAAGTGTTAGAGATAGTCCCAATAAATATTTGTACAATGAGAAATATACAATTAAATATGTTTGTCCAACTGATGTATTTTCAGATTCATAATGAGCAAATGTTCTATAAATGTTCAAATACTTTCGCGAGCAACTGTATGTAGATGTTTGTCAAACAGTTTGAATTACGAATTATGAGGACTTCTTTCCCAACGAAACGCGAAAGAGCCGACGAGATGGAAAAATGGTAGCCTACCTTATATTGAAGCTTCCCAAGTTTCACCTCGCTCTGTTTACTCTCGCCTTCGTCCGGTTCCTCAGCGTTGTCAGTTAACTCTTCCATATCCGGCTGAACCTTAACAGATCGAAGTGGATTCCACGAGTGTAGAATGTGCGTCTAACATCTACATGAAGTCACGGAACACCGAGTACGTACCTTGTCCTTGTACGTGCTGCCTAAAAGTTGCACGGACTTGAGGTCCACCGCGCCCTTCAGCCCTTTCTTCCCATCCTTGGACCGCCTTTTGCGACAGCATCTTCTGATGCAGCAGAAGCAGATTCCAAGAACTACTACCAGCACGGCTACTCAAGCGAGAAAGGAAGAAATCGAAAGACAGCATTAAAAAAAACTGCCAACTCGGATTGGAAGCTCGGTTGTTTTATAAAATAGCGTCCCTCAACAGAGTACCGTGCAAAAGTTTCAATTCTTGGATCATGAAAAATGCAGGGATTCGAAGTTCTTGAGTTATTAAAAAAGACAAAGATCTTCAACTCTTCAGTTATAAGAGGATGTAGGAATTTTTACTTTCTGAATCATTAAAAGTTAACAAGGATCTTCAATTCTTTAATGGTGTGAGAATTCTTTATTTCTCGAATTATTAAGACTTTGTAGTTCTTAAATTTAAAAATACTGAAGAATTTGTAATTTTCATATTGTCAGGATTTTCACATCTTCAATTATCATGTGCACAAGAGTTTTTAATCTTTAAATCTAAGTTAAGAAGAAAAGAATTTTTTAATTCTTTTAATTCTCTAATTATCAACGACATAAATATATTTAGTATGTAACAAGAATCTTTTTATTCCCATTTGTTTAGCGAGCTGAAACTTTTGCATCGTACCTATGTGCCTATGTTGCATGTATGCAAGCGAAATTTACAAGCGCAAAAGCGATTCTGTATCTTCGGTCTGTTTCCTTTCATACTAATTTGGTGTTACTGCTGTTGCCTGTATAATGAATGTAATTTTAATTTGTCACGAACTACATAACTACATAAGTAAAAATATAATGTGGCGTGTTCGAGTGTTTGTCAGCACTTAATGTAACTGAAACAAAGAAAACTTGTGTGATTAATGTTGTCCATGTTGGAGCATGTTATGCGATGTTCGAATTTTCTGAAAGAGTAAAATGTGTCAATTGTTTCTCAAATATTCGTATTTCATTCATCTAGATATTAATTCTTGAATCTCATCGAGTTACTTGAGAACTTTTATTAAGTAGTCAAAAAATGGATTGAAATTTCTTCTAAAATAAAGTCTCTCTAGAGTATGAATTTTCTAAATAACTATATTCTTAACGTTTATAAATGTATTATACACACTATACATCTTTCCAATTAGAATTAAATTTGTATTTAAAAGGGAATTCCAATTGAAATGATAATTCCAACAAAAGACCTAAAGAAGATATTCTAAAAATTATTACAATTATTACAATTATTAAATCAGAAAATTTAGCTCTCATCTGTAGTCACTCATATGTTAGATACTGTTTTTAATATTGTTTCATGTTTCATTTCAATTCTAAAAGTACAATTTGTTTTCATTTTGCGTGGCGCTAAACCTCTCAATCTTAAAGATATTAATCGTTCGTTTGCTTTTACCTATTAAAATCGCTACTAGTCCCCATGTTGGTATTCCCATTTCCTCTGCAAGCTCCTTGCCGAGGTTCTCCACTTGAGTCTCAAAGTTCTTCCCTGCACTCTCGGTCACCGCCATCGTGCCAACTGTAAACACGATTTACACAACGTTAGCTGTTGCACGAAAATGAAAAAAAAAACGCGACACGATCTTTGTCACAAAGACAGAAAAGCAAAGAAAGATTTGACGTTTGAAGTCATTTACCTTCTTTCACCTCCTCCTCCGTGGTCACATAAATTTTTGTCGTTAACTCGACGTTATCTTCCACCGGCTGCGGTTCTTCCGGCATCTTCGCCGCTTCTCTTTTGCCGATCATAGGCATTTTCTGCAAAATCGAGCTATCGTTAGACATTTGTTTTAAATTTGTTGGAAATTTTAAATTCAGATTTCAAAAGAGACATTTTTTTTCTTTCATTACCGTGATATACACGTACGCGAATGAATAATTGCTATTATCTGACGTCAATTTATAATACATTGTCAGTTCATCAAAATCGATCTAATTACTGTCGCGTGATAATCACCTTCGATTTTGTGTAATTACAGCTGTGTAATGATTTTTACCGTTTGATTATATTTCTTACTACGTAACATAGAACGTAATTTCTATACAACCAGTTACAACAGAAATGGTTAGTTATTAGCTTAAAAAATAGAATTCGGTCCTTTCGTCTGCAACGACCTTGCAATAATTTGAGACTAAACGATCAGTTAACTCTTTTAAAATTAACTTCTTTGCAACAGAGCAACATATAATGGTTTCGTTACTATTATACGACCATTCCAAACAAATCCAAAGCCTTTACTGCGTCCTTCTTCCATCATTGTCCCAAAAGGTCATCTATACTATCGTCCAAATTCTTTATAGATTTACTCCTCGATAACGATTTAAACGTTCTAATTTTAATTGTTCAAACTTTCGTTTCAGTTCTTGAGTTGGCTGCCTTCTTTTGCGCCCGTCCAACATACACTTTCCTTCAGCTGCTTTTTTTTTTTTCATTTAATTTCAGTACCACTTGTTCAAACGCAACAAAACCGAATCCTCGAGATTTCCCGTCATCTCTGATCATAACTTTCTGACTGGCGATGGTCCCATATTTTTCAAACATTTCTCTAAGTCTATCATCCGTCATGTCTTCCCCGAAATTCTTTACATAAACATTGGTGAACAGTTTAGCTTCTTCTTTCAATTCCTTGCCACGTTTCTTTGCCGGGTGTAAATTTACCAACATATACCTTTTTTTCATTTAGCAACATGCCATTATAACTTTATCAATAGGTTTGTTTGCCGTTTCTTTGCCAGTTCAGTTTCAAAATGGACAAAACCATAACCTTTAGAAACGCCGGATTCATTTTGAGCTACTTTGCAACTAAGTGTGTTATAGATGAAAGCATGTTGCTTTGCTGTCTATGTTTTTATCTAAACTTTTTATAAATACATTTTCAACACCAAATTTCGGAAGAGATGGATTACGAATAGGCTGTCCCTTTGTCATATCAAAATTCATTGTATCAAGTGTTCATTTCGCGTCAGCAGATTGCTGCAAGTCAACATAAGCATATCCAAGCGAGTGTTGTATCGAGAGTATGGGCCCAGCCGATGAAAACTTCTCGAAAAGCATCGCCTCGGCGCAAATCGCAGAAGTAGAGTGACGCCATAGGATAATTAGATGCCTCTCGGTTCAGTATTTGTAGTATTCCCACGTCTTACAGCTGCTTAAGTTGAAAAAATTCTATGGTTTTTGGTTTATCTCGTTCCTTCAATATGGCTTGCGTTCTTCCGACCACGTTCCTCTTTGTAACACGATGATTATTATGTTTTCCCACACGTTTCGCGGTTTTACTTACGGCTCTTTTTCGATTTTTTTTGTTCGCATTTTTATAATTTTTATATTTCTTTTTTTATAAAAGTGTTATTTCATGAATGGAAGTGAGTTGTGCGACCTATTTTGTAGAAAAAGGAGACACAGCTACTCTCGTTGCAGAAGAGGCCAGTTGACTCTTTTAGAGTGCAACACTAGAAAGACCAACGTTACAAAAAATAACAAATGCTTTTTTTTAAATGAAAAATATTAATCAAAATTATGTAATTGTTTATTTAAAGCCGGAAAAGTAAGGAATTGTATAAAGAACTTTTATTCAACCATTTTTATGTAAGTATATTCTGGTAGATTTAGCTCAGAGTTTTGATTATCATTTACATATGATCTTGAAGCACTGTAACCAAAGTATTGGCACGAACTCGAGTAGCAACGCTTTGAATGCATTCTCTCTCTCTCTCTTTTTTTTTTTTTTAATGTGTGATGGACTCTAATGGAAAAAAAAAACAACCTTCTTTCGTGTGAAACTCACTATCGAGATAAAGCTCGCAATGAAAACAACGAGAGGGCTGAAATTCTATTCTCGCTTGCAATTTTATTCCGAAGTTGCGTCGCTCTTTTTGTAGAGTCCAAAATCCGGGTCGTGCATTCCGCGAGGCAAAATTCAGCTGAAGGAGAAACGCGGAATAAATTAAGCTCGTTTAATTTTTAATTCGTTCTGGATCATATTAGAGAAAATTAGGTTCGTCGTAGACCGACTTGAACTTTTAAATTCATTCACGTTCGTTCAAACTGAGTCTAACTTTTCTTTTATTTTTATTCATTGTGTGCCATCAATCTACGTAGATTGTGGGTCTTTTAATTCATTTAAAATCCTTCGATTTAATTGAAAAGAAATGTTCTAATTTTAACCGAGGTCTTTGATACATATTCAGATGTCTCGTGCCTCATTTTAGATCCTTCTCTCTAACTCTTTTTTCTTAACTTTATTCGTGATAATTCTTTACAATTACGAATTCATCGCGACCTAATTCATTGGTAGATATTCTCAGTTTAGACTTCTTTTTTTAGCAAATGTTTGATTAGTTTAAATTTTTCAGCGAATATTCAATGCCTGAGAATGAAATATTTTTATCGTGACACTATCTCCAGAGGATTAAATATTTTTATTATATTACATGGCATAAAATCTCCTTCTTGGAGCTTGTAATTTTATCTGGCAATTTTTGTAATTTTTGAAGGAAGGGCTTTTTAATAACTGAACTGTCAGATGCAGTTGAATTAATTCACATCGTGGTTAAATGCCACGGATAGTTGCTGCTCGCATTGATCGGGAATTTTAACTGAATTGAATTTCACAACATTTCAAAAACAAGTTCTATTCTCTCACATTCAATGAATTAGAACAAAGTACAGAATCTCATTTATTCACTTCATTCAACAGTATCGATATTCACAAGCCTCTACACTCGGTTATACGCTTCTTCGAAACATATTCAAATTACTTGTGTCACCTTTTGTCAATAAAAAAAAAGAAAAAAAATTCCTTTAAGAATTTCCCTTGCAATTAAATCACTCATCGATAATTTCAAATTGGTACCTCGAGATCGTCGTGTGAATTTCACGAACACGCGCATTCGTAATTTGTATATTTATGCACATTTCAAATACAGTACAGACATCACACGTTTTGTTGAAATTGAACGAAATGTCGCGACAGAGGAAACAAACAATGGGATATGATTAATTGCTGTTTCAGTGTCATGTTTTTCTGGTCATTAACGAACCGGACCACAGTTTCACACTACAAAGGCCAGCAGTCGTTAGTTTCCGATATTTCTCTGCGAGATTTTGCAATCAACGCTGCGCTTCCGCATTTCGTAGATTAAGTTTTCGCATGCGTATCGTGGTTTCCAGGATTTATGATATAATACCAATAACAGCACGCTATTATACAAATTATATTTTTATCCATCCGTATGAATACTCGTGATGCATGACATTCGTAATTACGAATGTGAAAACATAAACGAGCGAAAGCAGAAAAACAGAATTAATCTCTGGTGTAACGTAAGTTGAACGAATATTTCTCATTAGCGAACAGACGGTCCATTTTTGCAAAGTAAAGTGCTATTTTATGATTCGAAGAAATGCAGAATTTTCAGAATATTGGTGCATCTTCTTCTCTATCAGTGTTTCAAATTATCAAAATAATGCAAATAATATATTGCATTTCAGTATCGTGAATTTTGTTTGTTAATTCTTTTTTTTATTAATATTCATACTTATTCAAGCTTGTTTAATTTTGTTAAAACGAAATAGCCAAGTTCTTAATAAAAGCTTCGATATACAGCTAGAAATTATTTTTATATTAACAAAAAAGTTTCAACTATCTAGTTTATAACTTTCTTGGAAACAATCATTCAAATTTACAATTTTGAATTAAAAATTTTGTAGTTAAAGTCTTTGATCAACCACTTTTCACGTTTGCATTTTTAGTTTTAGTCGCAAAATTATTTAATTATTTAATAAAATATATTGCACGTTTGAATGTGCTGACGTTTCTAAAGCCAGTCACTTCATACGAAACAATATAATAATTAAAAACCACTATCGTTCCTTATTTTCAAAATGTTTTCGATATTTAGTTTTTAATTTTTTACATGGATCTCGAAGAATTTATTGAGAAAACGGGGAAACCCTAATCAACTCTAACAACTTTGCGTTTAACTGTGACGTGTGTTTGTCTATCACCGGAAGTACCGTGGCATTTCCACTCTTATAATTACTATAGATACGTTCTATTTCACACAGATGCGAAACAGTCGCAATATATACATACATACATACATACATACATACATACATACATACATACATACATACAAAATCTTTACGTAAAGTATAGGATCCGTGTGACTTTATGACACCGTTTAAGTGACCTTGACTGATCAATTGACTTTAAAATCGAACTTTCTTCGTCCTTACTTCGCTAGCAATCTTCCTGAATGCGATTCCTATTTGATTTTCATTAACTTCTTCCACAAAGAACTATTCCTCTCTACTATATAATTCCTTTCGTCAGATCTTCAATTACATTTAATAGGCAAAACAATTTTTCACCCACCTTCGCAAAGATGTAAACGTCCGTAATTGATTTATTAATTCTAATGTTGTGTATGCTAAAGATGTTGTATAATATATATACATGTATACAATATTATGATTAATATATAATTAATATATTTTAATATATATTAAGATGTTGTATAATATATATATATATATATATATATATATATTTATGCTAATATTGTTATATATATAATATATATATATAATATATTGTTATATAATATATAATATATATTTATGCTTATATATATAATATATATTTATACTAATATTGTATATGTTAAGATTTTAACTATCTCGATAATTTTCTAATAACTCATTTATTTAATTCCCCCGACGACTGTGAACGAAAATGAATATCAATTTCATT